GCGGGAGCACCGCCACACTCCCAAGTGGCGCACTGTAGCAGTGCGCCACCGGGCCGGCCCTTTAAATTGACTTTGATGGACTTATCCATTTTTCTATTGGGTTGTTTAATTTTTTTGTTATATATTTGGATTTCTTTTCTTATTTAATTTGTTTTCCGTGGATAGTTATTTAAAAAATGTTAAAATAATTGTCTCCTTGGGTTTTTTTTTTTTTTATTTTCTTGGTACTTCTCTGTCATTTACCCCCAAACTCTCTGAAGAAACTGAAAATATCCATTTGTTACATTCAAAAGCATCAGAGACACTCTTAGTTTCACTTTTTTTGGCAAATGCCTCCCAGAGCCTTCTGATTTCCTTCTCCAAGCCAGCCTCTGAGCAGCTGTCCTCCCCTGGCTCCTCCTGTGGTGTATCCCTGGTTCTCATATCATTTCTTCTTAATGTTCCCAATTTGAAGGCACATAGTCTCTAGTAGCTTTATTAAAAAGCATGTTTGAGGAGCTAATTTTTTGAGATCTCTTGCATGTCTAAAAGCATTTTTATTCTATCCTCTTATTTGGTTGATAATTTGCCTGGGCACAGTGTTCTAAGAGGGAAAAATATTCAATCAGAACTTTGTTAAGGCACTCCTCCATAGTCTTTTGGCTTCCACTATTGTTGTCCAGACAGCCAGAGTCATTCTGATTCTTGGTTCTTTGAACGTGACCTCTGTTGTTCTCTGGAGGTGTGTAGGATCATCTTTTCCCCCAATGTTATGACATAATAAGGATACGTTTGATATTTATCTTTTCATTCATTACACTTTGTACTTGAACGTTGTAGTCTTGCAGATCTGGGAAACTTTCTTGATTTTTTTTTAAAAATAATTTTCTCCAGTACACATTTTCCATTAAGCTATCCTGGACTGATCATCTAATTTTCTTAACTTTCTTCACCTTTTTTTTTCTGTCTTTGACATTTCTTTCTTCCTAATTTTCTGGGAGATTTCCTTAAGTTTTCATGACCCTCTTATTAAATTCTTTTATTTCTGATGTCATTTTAGGATCAAGTTGCTTTTTCATATTATGAATACTCATTTTCATAGCTTCCTATTCTTGTTTCGTGAGTGTAATATCTTCTTAGTCTGAGGATATTAATGAGTTTTTTTTTCCTGTCTCAGAATCCTTGACTTCCTGTTGATGTATGTCATTTGTTTTGGTCTTTTATCCTTATATTGAAAGCTTATCATAAATGTCTGATAATCTCTCATGTGTACTCATCCAAAAGCAAGCCTGAAAAGGCTAGTTGTAAGCCATCGGTGTGTGAATGGGTCTTATTGGCTGGTCACCTTGAGTGGGAGATGTCTGTTTTCTGAGCAGATAGATTCCTGAGAGCAGAATCTTTTGATTTGTGAGTATAAACCTGGGCTGCTAGCATTTGTAGAGCCAAGAAAAGGGGCTAAAGATTCCACTCCTCAGTAAGTAGATTGACTCAGTCCTTATGTTTCTGGTGTAGTATCTATTGCCATCACCCTCAGCCTTAGTCCAAAGTCCTTTTTATTGTTTCTCCAGAAAGGAAACCTCCAGTTTGCTGCCAGTCAGGGCATGGGGAATCACTCCCTTCACGCACCTGTAAGAATGTATCTCAATATCTGCTTTTTAAACAGCCTTAGTTTGACCACATTCCTATTTTTAGCTTCCCATTCACTTCTTTCTGAGGTGTGTCTAGTGTTATAGATTTCTGAACTTCTTTGGAAATCAGGGACACACAACCCCTAGCTCCTCCAATGAGTATTGTGGGTGTTAGAATTCCTTTACTTTCGTTTTGGTGAGGTTTTAGGATGGAGTCAATGATAAAGCACACATTTAAGCCACTGTCTTTAACCAGAAGCCTCCCTTTATGGAACTTATTTCTGTGTATGGGTAGAATAAGGCTATATTTTTCAAATTAATTGCCAGTTGTTCCTAAATCATTTACTCACCAGCTCAGCCTTTCCCCATGGATTTAAAATATCCTTTCTGCAGCTGGCCGGTTAGCTCAGTTGGTTAGAGCACAGCCTTGTAATACCAAGGTCATGGGTTCAAATCCCCATACTGACCAGCTCCCCCCCCCCCCCAAAAAAAGTAAAATTCCTTTT